CAAAATACCAACCACATATATCATACACATAACATGCCATATCATAACAGAACATAGAACAACCATGCACTTCAGGTCTATTGTGTGACTGGTCCACCACACCGGGCCTTCAGTCTACCTGGTCCACCCTCTGAGTCTAACCATATCCATCGAGTCTACAGTATGACTAGTCCGCCCGCACCGGGCCTTCAGTCGGCCTGGTCCAGTCTCCGGGCCTCAACACATCTGGTCCACCCTCGTAGGGCTTACAGCCTATCCTAAACGCTCGCTGGGCCTTCGGGATATCCGATCCGCCCTGGGTATGTTGGCCTACAGCACAAAGCAGGACCCACCTCAACCCAACCCCAGTCAACCAACCATGTGCACATAAACATATAACCACATAACAATTAATCATCAATCAGCCGATCTAGCAGATCATATACATATCATACTCTAAACAAGATACCGACCTAACCGGTCACTAATGTCTACTATCCTAACTACCCAGATGCAAACATAGCAAAGCAATAACACAACAACAATACCCAAATTAAAATCCGGTAAAGGGTCGGCCTTGGTGCCTTAGACCCTGTTGATATAATGAGGATAACTCACCTCGCAACTACCGAAACTCTGAACTGAAAAGCAGACTCCCAAATCACCGACTCACCGAAAATCCCGAACTAGCCAACATAGCAGAAATAATCATTAGATCAATAATATCCTTCCAAGGGTAAATTGACCAATTACCCTTAACTCAATCTAGTCCATGACTAAGGCCCACAACACTTTTCAAGTCCATCATCCTCTTATTGGGCCAAGGCCCAAAGTCAAATTCTCATATAAAGCCCAATATTGGCCCAATTTACTAAATTGGGCCCACCTCTACAAACAGGCCTAGATCCAAGGTCCATAATAATAATTGGGCCCAAAATACTCCATCCATACTATTCAGTCAAGGCCCAAGCTTATTAGTCCATAGACAGCCCAAACAAATAAGGCCCAAAATTAAAAACCCAGCAGAGGGAGTACGATGGGCGTACCCTCCTTGGTACGTTGGGCGTACAACGATGCTTCGCGAATTGGGATCGGGACACAGACCCACTACGCTGGGCGTACTCCCCTATTACGCGGGACGTAACTCCGCTGAACTACATCTTCTCATAAGTTCTTAATGGCTTAAGCTCTTAAGCCCAAACTTTAGATCTATAGACCAAATATGCCTAGGGTCCATAAAGTCTCAAACTTTATTACTTGGGATGTCCATAAAGATCTTATCCAAGGTCTTAATCCATTAAGACCTATCTATATCACATATGAGACAACCAAAGCCCTTGGGACCTCATTTTTCTTACTCAAGACCTCTCCTAAGGTCTAAAAGGACAACTAATCTCAGCCAACTCGAATCATGCATCAAGATGAGGTTTTTGGGAAAAGAATGGTGTCCAAACTTCATAATACATAGATCTACACAATATGATTATCAAGCTAGAGACTTTTTACCTCAAAAGGGTTCTAGAAGATGATGCCTTTCCAGATCTACAAGCTCCAGCCACCCCACTCCTTCTTTGACAACTTCCTCTTTCTTCTTCTTGGCTTTCCTTTGTTAAAACAAGCTTCCCAAGGTCAAACACACCCAACAATGGAGGTGGAACGGTTATCTAGGGCTTCTGAGGATGAGAGAGTGTTTTATGGAGGCTAGGGTGAGAGCCATTATGTTCCTTATATAGAGGCTGACCTTAAATTTAGGGTTTCTGGAAGATAGACGTACACTGGGCGTACATCCACTACGTTGGGTGTACGTCGAGAGACCCTCGCGTTCCTTTCCTACATTACGCTGGGCGTACCCAACCAAACTTATACATGCATGCTTGGCATGCATCAGACTCCTTTGCTAAACTTCCCCCCTTAGGGACCATTGCTGCCAATATCTTTAATTTACAACATTTCCTCCATCAAAAGTCCGTTCTCGCCAATTCTTTATCCATATTAAGGACCGAAACGCCCTTACTCTTGATCTCGGGAACCCATAAATAGATATTTCAAGAACGGGGTGTTACAATTTTGGAACAAAAGGAGAACATTGGGAGAAGGAAACAAGGATCTAGCAAGCAGAGCTCTTACCTTCAGTTTGAATCCCTTATGGACCTTTGTAAGTGTTCAAGATCTGATTTTTATCTATCTATGTAGCTAGATCTTGAGTTTTGTCCCTTTTTCTCCTTATTCTTGGATGTTGCAATGGATGGACTTCATAAAGTTTGCAACTTTATGAATCTTCAGCTCAAGGTGACCTTATAGTGGGTTATATCTGGTCTTTCGCCAAGCCTTGACGCTATGCATGGAGTTTAGGTCATATTTTCCCCTTTTCACCCATTTTGGGTTCAAGACATGCATTGGACATGCATGTCTATAAAGCACCAAGCTTTCGGACATTTTTGAGGCTAGAATCTCTTCTAGAAAAGTTGGGTTTCAAATCTCAAGGATTTTGTGCTTAATGGTTAAGCCCTTGAGTTTTCAAGCCTTATGGATGGGTTTTTGAGCATTTGGAGTAGCCCCAAAGGATAAAGTTTGAAACTTTATTCTTTTAGACACATTTGGAGTTTAGATATGAGCCTTAGAGTCCCCAGAATCGAAGAATCAGCTGAATGTGTTAAGCTGGGGAAAACTTGGTAAGGTGTCCGGTCAACTCAACGAGTTGGCAAGGGTTTTCCCGACTTTTTGAGTACTATAGAAACTCGACGAGTTCATTGGTGCACTCGACGAGTTGGGTCAACATGGAACATTGACCTTGACCATTGACTTTGACTTTGACCATGTTTAACCAAGTTGGACTTTTGAGGGCATTTTGACCATTTCAGGTTTTTGATGGGATTGTCATGATGGTTAAAGGCATTAAGTTGGGAGTTGAGATTCGGAGTTAGACCTTATCAGTTCTCCACTACTTGTGAGGTGAGTTTTCCTCATTGTACTTAAGGGTCGAAGGCACCAAGGCTGGCCCTTTGGATTATTATCCTGATTATCATATGATTGAGTACTTTAGTGATTTGTTAGATCTGAATCCTGGTAGATAGGATGATGCTATGCTTATTGATGTGTATGATATTTGCTTGTCTGTTGATTGATTATATGTTTATGAGTTATATATATGTTGACATGTGTGTGGTTGAGTTGAGGCGGTCCTGCTTTGTGCTGAAGGCCAACAGACCCAGGGCGGCCCGGATAAACTGAAGGCCTGCGAGGCAGACCAGTCAAGCCGAAGGCCCGAAAAAGGTCCAGACATGCTGAAGGCTAGGTGCGGTGGTCCAGACATGCTGAAGGTTTTGTATGTGTGTTGTTGTTATGATATTTATGATTATGCGTTGTGGTGATATTTTAGGGGAAACTGACTATGCTTTGGACTTACAGTTTTGAATTGTGTTTCAGGTACTTCCGAGGATTGTGGCAAGGCGAATGCGTGATCCTGCACCTCCTCATGTTCTTGTTTTCTGATTTTGGTATTTCTATGACGTGAAACGTATTTTGAAAACAAATTATAATCAATGATGATTTTGTGGTTGTTTAAAAATTTTCAAGAGTTTTATGAATGTTACAAAGTTCTTATTTCTAAAAGACCTTTCACCCAATTTCAGATCTAGACCCAAAACATCATTCTATTTCATAAATTTTCTATCTTTATGACATTCCATGTCTAGAAAAGGTCCAAAAACAAAAACCCTAACTTAATAATCCATCAAGACATCATAACTTTTGCATGAAAGGAATAGAAGGACCAAGATCATATTTTTATGGTTTCTAACACCTAAAAACATCTGAAAGGATAGGTCTTCTTGTTAGAGTAATCCATACTCAAGAACACCAAGCTTATGGGACCAAAAATGAACACAAACACTAGGCTAGAAAGATCTAAGCAAATAACTCATGAAGTTTTAGACATTATACCTCAAAAGGATGCTTGAGGGAGAAACACTTCTAGATCCCAGATGGTTTGGGCTTCCAAGATGCTTTCCCTTCATTCTACTTCCTTCAAGAACACCAAAAATGCACTCTCAAGCTCAAAAACTCACACAAAGGATTAATGTTTGTTATGAACAAATTAGATAGAGGCTGATAAGGGAAAATGTCTTAAGAAGTTAATGATTCTTAAATAGTGCTTAAACTCTAAAAATTAGGGTTTGCACTTTTGTCACATACGTCCTACGTACATAAGAGTACGCCCAACGTACGCGAGAAACCACGCGTTTTTCATTAAGTGACAATAGGACCAATTTTGCAACAAATTTCATTCTAAGGGGTATAACTAGAAAAAAACCTGGATCAAGGTGTTACAAGATTGAGGTGAGTCATCTTGCTATATTATATAGTATGCTAGTTGTCTTTGTGACTCTAAAATTGGTATGTTAGGTTGGGTTCGTTGGTATGCTAGGTTGGGTACGTTTGTATGCCGGGTTGATCCCGTTTGTAATGTTTAATTTGTTATTTTTAACCTTTTTTTTTATTTTTCTTATAAAATTAAACAAATAATTTAAATATATAAACAAATAAAATAATTGGATTCAATTTAAAAATTAAAAGGAAAGTTACATTAATAAAATTGATATGCATTTATTATTATATTTAGACAAAACTACACAAATGGTCCCTGTGGTTTACACAAAATTGCCACTTTGGTCCAAAAAAGTTTTGGCTAGCACCATAAGTCCAGAGTTTCCATTTTCTTGCATATTTGGTCCAATGGGTTAACTTCCGTCTGTTTCCCTCTGTTAAGTTATGTTTGACTAGTCAAATCAGGGGTATTTTGGTCATTCCCTATTTATGCCCTTTATTTTATATTAATAAAGGAGAGTTCGTATGTATGCATTGCCATACGGATAATATCGAGCCTAATTCACATTTATAGTCCTTAAAAACCGTGAGTCGATACAATTTCCCTCCTCATTGACTGAGGATCAAGAACCTTAAACTGATTAACAAGGTTGATAGCTTCAATCAGGCAAGTTTCGTAGTGAATGCATATACCAATGTGGCACTTAAGGTTGTCAAGCACGTCATTCGACCCAAGGGTGGTTTATGGTACGTAATTTTGTTTTTGATCATTTTGTTGATTTTCTTACAAGAAATCATACCTTCTGAACTTTTTTTTTTTGCTCTTGGGTTGAAGATGGACACCCTACATTGTTTACCATCAAGCTACAGCATGGAGGTGAGTTCACAAAGTTTCCAAATGTCAACTACATTGAGGGTACTGTGACGTATGTAGATATGGTAGATATAGAAGAGTTTTCTATTCACGAGATGGATGCGATTATGAATGGGTTAGGATACTCAGTTCCTCCAGTTATCTACTGTCATTTTCGAGTGCCAAAGGGAGATATGCATTTTGGGCTACGGGCCCTAGGAAATGATGATGATGTCCTCAATCTTTCCCAGTATGTGAAGGAGCATAAACTGATAAGGGTTTACACCGAGCATGGTATTACTAACTTGCTTACTTACTTTATGGCTCCTAAACCTGTAAGAAAAGTTATTATTGAGCAATTAGAGGAGATCGATGAACATCAAACCCCCCAACTAATAACCAACCCAGTGGCATGCCACAAACATGCATACCACCTGTGATAGCAATTGAAGCTGCTTTAGCCTTGTCAATATCCCCTGAATATAATAAGAAAAGGGAATTTATCAAGGACAAACCATTGTCATCATGTATTAAGAAATTGGTGATGGATGATGTTAGTGTTGATAGGATTGGTGGGAATAAGGATGATGCAGATAATGAAATTGACCACGGATTTAATGAATTTGATGAGGAATGTAATGATATTAACCAGGATTTTAATGAATTTCATGAGGCATGTAATGATATTAACCAGGGATTTAATGAATTTGATGAGGCAGCTAATGACTTTGATATTGGATTGTACCAACAGATTTTACAGTCTAATGAACAGAATGTAGATGATGAGGTTCATGAAGGTGAGGAAAATACAGTTAATAAGGAAGTCACTGAAGAAGAGAATCATGACAGAAATGAAATGAATGATGAGAATGTAGAGATGAGAGATTTTTCAGTTGATGATGGAAGTGAAGATAACATAGAGATTGATGAAGACAATACTGAAAGAAGTGATGAGAGTGAGGACAGTGATGATAGTGATTTCTGGGTGGATGAAGACAACATCATCCCTGATGTAGAAGTAGACATGAGGGATTTTTACATGAATATAGATCTTAAAGCAGAATTTCTTGAAAAAAGATTACCAAAGCATAGAGAGAATGACAGTGATGAGGTCAATGAAGAGTTGGATGTTATAGATAATGATCAATGGGATTCATTGGATGAGGGTTCTGATATAGATAGGAAAAGAAGAGCTGTAATAAAGGAATTGGGGAAGGAGACTAGGTGCTCTCAAGGTGAGATACACAAGGTAACTTTTAGGATAGGACAAAAATATAAAAATAAGAAGGAGTTAAAGGAAAAGATACAATTGCATGCACTGGAAACAAGAAGGAATATATTCTTTGTGAAAAACGACAAAATGAGGTTAAGGGCAATCTGTAAAGGAACTGTGGCCTTTAATGATGGTCATGTCGGTGAACCTACCCCTTATCCTTGGGTGATACAAGGTTCTAGGTCAGATGTAAATAGTAATTGGTTCATAAAAACTTACAACGACGAACATAAATGCCTCCAGACAAGAAAAGTTAGATCTGCAACAGCAAAGTTTATCTCTAAGCAGATAATGGACCAGATTGAATCCAACCCAACAATCCCAGTCAGAGCTCTTCAAGAACAACTTCAAAAGGATTATCAAGTTGGATTCTCTATTCACAAGGTATTCAGGGCCAAATCAACTGCAAAAAAACTTGTCCAGTGTGATTACAAAAAGCAATATGATGTTCTTAGAGATTACATCCTGGAGTTGCAGTCTACTAATCCATAAACCACTGTGAAGTTAGAGTTTGATTCAGAACCCAACCTAAGTGCTACCTCAAGAAGGTTTAAAAGGATGTACGTGTGTTTGGGTGGAATGAAAAAGGGCTTTAGAGCTTGCCTGAGGGATTTTCTAGGTTTTGATGGGGCATTTATGAAGGGCCCTTTCCCAGGACAAATTTTAACTGCAGTTGGGGTAGACTCCAACAATGGAATATACCCCCTAGCTTATGCCATTGTTGAGACTGAGAACACTGACAGTTGGAAGTGGTTTCTAGAGTGTATTGCAGATGATCTGGACCTATATGCAAACTCAAACTTCACATTTATAAGTGACAGACAAAAGGTTTGTAATTTGTTGTTTATATTTGACATATTTGGATGTGCTATATTAACTATGTTTTAATTCCTTTACAGGGATTGCAGACTGCCATTTCTCAGTTGTTCCCATGTGCTGAGCACAGGTTTTGCCTTAGGCATATACATGACAATATGAGAAAAACATGGAGAACTAATGAGTACAAAGAACACTTGTTGAATTGTGCTACAGCAACAACAGTACCAGAGTTCAATCATAGGATGCATCAATTCAGCTCATATGATGTAGAAGCTTATAATTGGTCGAAGCAGATTCCCCCACAACATTGGGCAAGAAGCCACTTCACAGGTATATACTTCAACTTCCAAATTTACCCTTTTGTGTTGGTATATGTTGAAGGGTCTTATACAAACAATCCTGTGTGTGCATGCAACCCTAGTATTGGATCTATGTTTTCACTATTAGTTATACAGCTTTATGAACACAAAAAGAAACCTGGCATGCTACTATAATTTTCGAAATTCATATATAAATCTAGAATACATACCTTTTGTTGTTATATAGCAATAACAACTATTTCCTTGAATTTCCTTAGCTCTTGAAAGCAAGTACCACAAGTGTAGTACCTCTAATGGAGTCACAAACACCATATGCAACTTGGATGAAGAAGAGAAGAAAAAGAGGCACCAAAAACGGCTGGAAACCCTAATGGAAGGGTTGTTCACGTTTTTGGGGCTTAAGGGTCCCTTTTATACATGTAGGCTATTAGGGTTTACAACTAGGAAACCCTAATCTGACTGCTTAGGCCCTAAGCAGCCCATGGACTCCTTAAACATATCCCTTGGACGATTTCTAATGGGCTTCCCATAGAATTCGTTCAACTTATATATTATTAGGTGATCCATAGCCCAATTATAATTATCTTATAATTACAACTTCAGTCCCCTAAGTTTAATTAATCTCTTTTAACCACAAAATTAATTCTTAATTAATTCTTGACCAATATTAATTAAACAATATGATTTCTCCTTTAATATATTATTCTCATAATATATTAATAAATCATATTTAAACCTTTCTCTCCTTAAATCATCCTACATATTGCTATGGTGAAGGCAACCCAAAAGGACCATGCTCATAATCGGGTCAAGTACATACCAAAACAGTTATGGACTTAGACACTAATCCAACAGTCTCCCACTTGGATAAGTCTAATAACTATTTTCCGTATGACTTCAGAACCTGATCAGCAATCGTAGCTTTCAAAAGCCGCTATCAACTCTGATCTTATCAGATAGCGTGTCCTCTAGATAAGGGATTATATATTCCTCCATTCTCAAGATATCGTATAGACAAAAGACATGAATTTCAATCATTCTCTCTATACTATTTCCCGACTTCCGATTCATGACGACTGATAACAACTACAATTGAACACATCAACTTAGTCCCGGCTTGGCCAAGCGCTTAGGTGTCATCACTAAATCATCGAGAGGCCCACATATATCGCTTTTATCCCACTTTGGGTAAAAGGAATGGATAAACTTCGACTCAAATGCTCGCTTGCATTTACTGATCGAATCACACACAACAATAAGTTTTATAACACCAAGTTACTGGTGCGTTTACTTATTATCAATGTGTAACTGACCAACAAATAACAACTCACACGTCTCGGTTTCAAGAATATACAATATTATCGTCTCACTAATCACTCGTGATAAAACCGTGAAGTGATCCAAGTGAGCGTGGGTTTAATCCAATACTTTAATCTTATCAAAGCACTCACGAACTCTGCAGCAAACTTGTGCCATGTCTAAACACTTCAGACAATCTACAGACAGATTCATGACAGTCTTTATTCATACCTACTCCCAACGTATGACCAACTGTGGATGTTTGAATAACCTAGTTATTCTGGAAGTCAAAACATGCAAATTGAAACATAACAACAATACTTAATCCTATATGGCCCCAAACTTGTGAGAGTAAATAAAACCCTTCTATTTATCCACCATATTGATTACTCATTATTTATCATTTAATGTTTCGGATAATCAACTCATTGCTTGAATTACAACAACAATTGTCCCATGCTCTAAGCATGCACACCGTGTTTCCTATGGTCCATGCTTTGTGAAATAGATCAATTGAACACATTTCCAATCATTCTCATTTCACAACTCCAAATCCATTTTCATAAGTGTAAGAATATCAAATTCTCGTTACTTATAGAATATGCTAGATCTTAACACTTTATGCAACGATCCCTTCATAATGTCACTGCACTATTGCCAATGATATTACAAAGTCTTCTATCGGAGATTGTTACAAGACAATTCCTTAGATATGATGTCTCTCACTCAAAGTACATTCCTTTGAACATCCTTTTGCATAAAAGTTTCTAATCTAGACAAAGATTTTCAATATTTACTTCCTAATATGAACACGCTTCCATATTTTCCTCATGACAACCCATTCTTAATAGAATCTTTTCTATTTGTAATGATGTCGATATGGTCCATCCAATATGGAAACATTTCCATATTTTCCAATACTATACTTCCAACTACTCACAAGCGACCAATTCTCGTCGAACTTTGGATTGTCCTTTGATAGTTGTTTAATTATTTTAGTCAAAACCAATTCTAGTCCCTTTTTCCCTCTAAATGCGCTAGACATTTGGAAAATTTTAGAATGGTAAAATACTATAGCATTTGCAATCGATCCTATACCCAAAGCGTATGGGACACGATGCATAATGTCTTACATAAAGATATGATACTTTACCAATCTTTTGCCATAATATTTTATGTGTCATGTTCTCATAATTCGAACTATGAAGAGGGATGCCGTAATCATAATCGTTTTAAGAACACACAATGTATCCTTTGACTGAAAATATTAAAATTTCTTAATCTAAGCTTTAGATTTTGAAACGGAGTATAATATTCTCTCCCTTAATTATAGCAAAACAACTTTTCAACCCATGCAACTTTGCAAATTGAATCTTTGTTTTTCTATAATTAATATTGCTAACTTGCAATACTTTCCATAATAATCATACAATCATAACTTTTATGCTCCCACTATCATGATGATTACTATAAAACATAACACTTATGCTCCCACTAGCTTCGACATGTATTCATAAACATCTTAACTTTCAGAAAGACAATAACTATTGAATTTCTTAAGTCCATGTTTCTAATACTTAGTGCTTTGATAATCTTTTATCAAGGCTTCTTGAACTTATACACCTTTGCCTTAGATAGTTCATATGTGTGTCTTAACAATTAAGACTAATTGCCAAACCTCACAATTCAAATTATGGAAAGGGATACCGTAACCATGATCGAATTCGAGAATGCAATTTTACAATCACTATCTTCTTAAAATCTTTCTCAGTGAAAGCATTTCCTCACAATCATTTTCATGAAGGAGGAAATCTTATGACACTTAGATTTAAATGGTGTATTTGTTCCTATCCATGTGAATTTGTTAAAACCAAAGTTTATGACAAATTCAAACTCATATGGACTGACCTTTCTTAATCTTGATTTCTTGCCTTATGGTAGCACAGCTGCCCACCACGTCTTCCAAGTAGTTAAGCAGCTCACCCTTTCTTATCAATGTACTTTCATTGATCAAGGTCCTTGCTTTTTATGCATTCAAATGAGAATTCATAGAACTCACATGCATAATTAACTCGATTGGATTGGCACAGAATCAAAATAATGTCAACACGATAGGTTGTAAACCTCAACTCGTGCGCTAGTGATGATCGATAAGGTTTATTTGATTTGTTCTTGAAACTTTTTCAAAACATTAAAACTCCCACTGACCTCTTGACATATATGATTCTCTTTGTCAAGAAACATTTCTTGACAATCAAATATTCAAGAGTCAGTGCAGTTATTATCAAGACAAGAACACTTCACAAGTTGGTCCTAGTTGGTCTTTGTCTTATCCAAGACATCACAACTTACCAATCTCAAATGTACAAGAATAAGAAAACTTTTCCAAGTTCCATATTTGATGAGTGTTATAAACCTACTTAAAACTTTTCACTCAATGTCACAATCTTGACTTTAAGACTTGATATTGGAACGAAGTGTGATTGACTTCTTGATTTAACCATTTCTACAATACTTGATTCCTCTTCTTAGACATGCAATTGCACTAAGACTCACTTAGAGGATCTATTGAGACATGGTTCTTAATCTTTAAGACTTATCATAAAACACAATAAAAGGTACTCTCCCTTCTTCCTAGAAAAGAGAAACTTTTATCTTTCTGCCTACTCGATTCTTCTTTATTCGTTCTACTATTCATTGAAACTCTTTCAATCAATCTCAGAATTACACTTAATCTTATAAGTATAATCACATTTACTAAACTTTAGTAAATCATGACGAATATCTTTGTCACTCTTGTGGTGGACTTGATCAACGCACAACCTAGTGTACTTGATCTCCTAGTCTTTCAACTGACACTTTGCCAAAGAATTAGTCTAAGTTTCCCAAATGTGAAAGTTTTCCATTCATCATACAATACACATTGCATGATTCCAAGTTTCTGTCCAATTGAAACTTGGGCGATGAGAAAGTCTCCCTATTTGGTACACTTTTGACATTTCCATAATTAAGAATCAAATCCATTTTGCTAATAATAGAAGTACATGAACATCAATTTTTCATATATTTCATTGTAAGGATAAATAAATAAGACAAAATCAAAATTTATTTTATTGCGGAAAAAACTTGTCCTTACAATGCAATTCAACTGAAAAACTATGTTAACAATCTATTCTAACTCCAAGTTGTAGCTCAAGAATCCATTCTTCAAGTAATGCGATCGAAATCCATTTCTTCATGATCAGATTCAGCTCACTTCTTTTCTCAAGCTTCCTTCTTTTCTTCGATCCTACAAAACATCAAAATGTAATCTTATCACATCATGTATTAAGAATCTAGAATAGGAACTTAAAAGAGTTAGTTAATGGATTTTACCTGAAGCAGAGCCATACGTCTTGACTCTCCCATCTCTTAGATCTCTCAGGTAATTAGGGCAGCTTCGTCTCCAATGCCCCTTCTCTTGGCAATAAAAGCAAATAGACTCCTTTGGCACAACACATCGGACAATCACAGACTTAGTTCTTTCTGGACTTCCAATGTTGCCAGTGTCCATTGAAGTTTGGGAGTTTGATTCACTAGACAAATTTGCTTGACCAGCACGCCAAATCATTGCTGATTCAGCAGCTATAAGCAAATAGGTGAGATCAATTA